CATTCATTCACAGGGTCAGAAGGGATCTGATGGCACTGACACGCCCAAAACACAATTGCATTCTCAAAGTTCTGTGATTCTGCAAGCCGGAAAATGCTTCAAAAAATTCTTCATAGCTGGTCAAGAAGGGAAGCTGAGAGGTAAAGTTATTTTAATATGAGGGATGGGATGGAATATGCTGGGTGGGTAGGAGGCAGAAACTCATTTAATCGTGGACCTCTGAGACGGCTGAGTCAGTGGGAGCAGGACTGAGTCTGTGGGGAGAGGGGCCGTGGCTCAGTGGTGAAGTGACTGCTTGGCATGCAGAAGGTCGCAGGATCCCCGGCATCTCCGATTAAAAGGATCGTGTAGGAGCTGGTGTCTCCACCTGAGACCCTGAAGAGCTGCTGCCAGTGAGTAGACAATAACTGACCTTGATGGACCAAGGCTCTGATTCAGTAGAAGGCAGATCTTCATGTGTTCCGTAATGCCAAGGGGTCAGTAGGGTAATGCTAAATAAACTACCCCCAAGTTCATGACAGCCAGTGGCTACTCATCTAGGTTTTTTAGAGGCCGCATCATTCTAGGTTGAAGGCCAATACTTTCAGGTACGTAATTAATTGTTGAGCTCTAGTATCCTTTCAGTTTGGTGAGAGCCAGTTTCGTGTAGTGGTTGAGTGCACGGACTCTGATCTGGGAGAACTGGGTTTGATTCCCCACTCCTCCACTTGCACCTGGCTGGATGACCTTGGGCAAGCCGTAGTTCTGATAAGAGCTGTTTTTGGAAAAAGAGCAGTTTCTGTCAGGAGCTCTCTCAGCCCCGCCCACCTCCCAGGGTGTCTGTTGTGGGGAGGGGAAGGGAAAGGAGTTTGTAAGCCGCTCTGAGACACCGTTGGCTAGTGAAGGGCGGGGTATAAATCCGGTCTCTTCTTCTTTCGCTTTAGAAATTAAGTACCACCTCTATATTTGAGGTATGCTTGAAGTCTCGGACGCTGGAGATCTGTGATCTGTACCCCATATTAGGGTAATATAATGGTGGAAACATAGAACAGAAACCTCCTTGGGTCTAAACCATCCTCCTTCCTTGCCGTGATGGTCTTGATTTGGTTGGTGAGAGGACGCCAATTCTCCCGACCCTGAACGAGACCATTGCTGTTTGCCCTATTCCTCCCTGCAGTGATATTTATCTTCCCCGATGTGCTCATCCTTATTGAAATCTCCAGTTTGTCTAGAGAACATTCTCAGAGCTGCGCTTAACATGTAAAAACGACGTGCCGAGAAGAAAGCAGAGTCTGCGTTCATTATTTAACGGTGCATATTGGCTGCTTCATTTTGCATCATTCTTTCCGCCGCTGCAAGCCCTGGAGAAAGTCATAGACTGACACGAGGGTCTGGGAGTCTTCTCTTTTGGCCACCTGAATTCCTGCCCAATCCCCCCTCCCCACTGCTACCACTGTTTCTTGGACTGCATCAGCATTGCTCGTGGCAAAGAGTGGACCAAAAATCGCAGGTTCGTATCTCACCTGTGCTATCATCTCGAGAGATTCAGCAAGCCCCCCTGTATTTCCTCTTCACTGGAAGGTTGCAAAAAGAAGAACGGAGTAGTTTTACAGCCACCCGACTATCTATGTTCTAGACACAATGCATTATTTCTTCCTTGAGTCCATTGCACAGCCATACGTGCGGGGTGTTGCGCTTGAGCATAGATGACATCGTGTTTTTATTTGTAAAGCGCTATTCTGTGTACAGTGGACCATACAGAGTTGACACAACTCATTTCTGTAGTTCTAAGTACAATGTAATTTATCCATGCATTGGCCAGGTGTGAAACTAGAACTATGAGCTACCTGGGCTTCATACGGGTAGAGCAAGATGGGTAGCTGTGTTAGTCTGTCTGTAGCAGTAGAAAAGAGCAAGAGTCCAGTAGTACATTAAAAGACTAACAAAAGTTGTGGCAGTGTTTGAGCTTTCAAGAGTCACTGCTCACTTCTTCAGATACAGCTGCTCACTTCTGAAGAGAAAGGTCATACCCCACCACAAATATTGTTAGTCTTTAAGGTGATACTGGACTCTTACTCTTTTCTACTGGGCTTCATGTGTAAAACTTAAGGAAGCCACTCCCCGTGAATCCATGAAATGAGTCTGTCCTTGAACGTTTTCCCCTTGCAGGGTTGTCTGGACAAAAAACCAGGTAAGTGTGGGTGGCTGGGGGGGGGACTAAATGGGCTTGCCCCACGGGGTTTAGGTTTGGGCAGTGTGAAGAAAATTTTGCTGTGAACACTGGATTCATCTTTCTGGAGCTGGCATGGTTGATTCCTGTATAGCGGTGGTGGTAGACTGTGCAGTCGAGTTGCAGCTGCCTTGTGGTGACCCTGTGGGGTTTTCAAGGCGAGGAACGAGCCGAGGTGGTCTGCCATTGTCTCCCTCTGCGGAGCAGCCCTGGCCTTCCTTGGTGGTCTCCTAGCCACGTGCTAACCAGGGCCGATCCTGCTTAGCTTTCAAGAGCTGATGAGGTTGGTCTATCCTGGGTGGTCTAGGTCAGGACTCCCGTTTAGACAGGGGGGATATTGTTGACAATGGGGAGAAAAGCTCTGCTAAACCCTTTCCGCAAGGCTGAGTAGAAAAGTGGATAAATAAATGATAACAATAAGTAAATTTTTATAAATGAATAGTAATGTCACAGGGCCAATAAAATATATAGAACACTCTGTATAAAAAAATAACCAAATGGGTTTTGACAACATTTCTATAAGTGGGCCCAGGGCTTTTTTTGTAGAAAAAGCCCAGCAGGAACTCATTATCATAATAGGCCACACCCAACAACAGAAACTCATTAGCATATCCAGCCACACCTATGACAGCATAGCTCATTAGCATATTAGGCTGCACCCCCATGGTACCAGAGGTATAGTCATCCAGCCACACCCACCTTTTGCGTCTTATTCTGTCTGCCTTGTTTGTCAAAACCCAGGGCCATTTTTTGTAGCAGGAATTCCTTTGCATGTTAGGCCACACACCCCTAATGTAGCCAATCCTAATGAGTTTCTTATGTTGGGTGTGGCCTATTATGCTAATGAGTTCCTGCTGGGCGTGGCCAACTTGGGAGCCAGCCGGAACTCCGTTCCTGTGCGTTCCTGCCCCAAAATAGCCCTGAGCGGGCCATTATCTCAAAATATTTGTACAGCACATATTGTCAAGTAATGTGGTGAATACATCTGTACACACACATCCCGTAGCCTCGATGAATCCTTAAAGGCAATATCCACAAAATAAAGTAGAATTTCAAAACTGCTGTTAAGCTACAGCTATCCCATTAAACCAAATGAACCCACTGCTCCCTCTATAGATCCATTTTCAATAAACCATAATATAAGTCCACTAAATTTGCCAGTTGAGGTATTCCCTGAATTACCAAAAATCACCAAAAAGAGAACTAGCCAACACCTGGTGAATAAAAGAACATGTAATAAAAACACATTGTGCAAATTAATTAAAACATAGTTGCTCAGTTAACAGTACCCTGCTTTCCAATGGCTTTGTTTACCCTCGAGACACACTGGTTCTCTGGTTTTACCATTTTGCAATTTTGGAGATGCATCCTTTTAACCAGGTTGTGGTGCATCAGAATAGATTTAATCACACTCATATATCCTTAACCATTCTGGGCAGGAGCTTTTTTTTTCAGTTTTAGGGGATTACAGGCATCCCTCCCCACTTCTCCCATTTTTCCTCTAGATTCTCTACTGCCAACAATAAGGCACTTAAAATCGACGAAGTACAGAGCTGAGGAAGTTGCAGAGCAAATCGGTCCATGGCATTTCAATAACCGCTGTTCCCTTGTGCTTGAAAAGTGATCTGGAGAAATGGGGGGGGTGGGGGGAGACCAAAACATAATTTGCAATGAACTAAAAAGCTGTACTCCATATGTTCCTCAACCATAATGAAGTCAAGTGCCCTGTGCCAGTTCATGCTCCTCCTTTGTCATTTTTGTTTCATCTTGCAATGTATAATCTGATTGTATTGGAGTAATTTTTTTAATCCTCAGTTGCCTCAAACGGAAAATATTTGATTGTCAGTGGGAAATAAAGGGTTGATTTTCTTTTTCTTGGGAGTTGGTGGCATGCTCAGTGCAACACCCACCCCCAAGCAGTGTTCCCTCTAAGCTGAGTTAGTGTGAGCTAGCTCATAGTTTTTTAGCCTCCCGCTCACACATTTTTGTCTTGGCTCAGGAAGGATGGGTCCAGAGCAAACTGATTTATGCAGTAGCCAAATCACTCGCTCACAACTTTAATGCCAGTAGCTCACAAAATAGAATTTTTGCTCACAAGACTCCACAGCTTAGAGGGAGCATTGCCCTCAAGTATACTTTGAGCCAGTTTGTTGTAGTGATTAGGAGTGCGGACACTAATCTGGGAGAACCGGGTTTGATTCCCCACTCCTCCACTTGCAGCTGCTAGATGACCTTCGGCAAGCCATGGTTCTGTCAGAGCTGTTCTCTCATGAGAACCTACCACATAGGGTGTCTGTTGTGGGGAAGGGAAGGAGATTGTAAACGACTCTGAGACTACTTTGGGTAGTGAAGGGTGGGGCATAAATCCAATCTCTTATTCTCTATTTGACCCACACACACAAATGTACTGCCAAATGCAAGGGATGAGCAAGGCTGGTTGGGCCAGAGTGACATAGGTGAAAAATGGAGAAGCGTAGTGGAATTGGGACTTCATTTCCATGTTCTGACTATCTCTTCCCATGAGCTCATAGTATTTTCCAATGGGGTGCAAATAATGCAGACCAGAACTGGAGACCGTCCCTGTCTCAGGACATGATTTCCCTTTGAGACCTCCTCCAGGGGCCAACACATCCTTTGCCCCACCTCGCCTGCCCATATCTGCAACGATTCCCACCCCTCCCCAATCCCCACAGGTGGGCCGAGCGACTGCGTTGCCGTCTCCAGCGCTTTGGCCCGCCAAGCCATGTTAAAAACTGCTGTCCAGTGTCCGATTTCTCTGTGTCAGCCCTCCCAATGGATGGCAGCTGTCTTTTCCCCTCTCGCCCTGTCACTCTAGTTCCTTGTGGCTCTGGGACAGCAAACGTTTTGCACGTCGAAACCCGGGAACGGTTGAAACGCTCTCTTACCTTCACGAGTCTCTAAAAAGTGGAATGTTGGGCAGGGCAATGAGAGAGCTGAGTTTGGGGGGGGACTGACTGATGCTTTTGGAAGGATTACATCGGCAGCTCGTGTGAACTTTTATCCTTGAAGGTAAGTGACTTCCTTTGCTGCCCCTCGGCTGTTACCACCATTGGCTAATGGGCACAAGATGTCCCTGAGGTCTCTTCTGGACTCCTACCATTAAGACATGTGGCCCCACCCCCCCTCTGAAAAAGCTCTGTTTCTTTTTAGTAGCACATTCCCCCCACACACACACCGTAAACCAAATGTCCTCTTTTGCTTCCGGAGGTAGATGAAATTGCGTGGGACTCCGTGTGGAGACTTAAGATGGCTGAATCTCCCATTCTGGCAGAGGGTGGGGAGAGAATGGAGGGGTGTGATGGTCTAGAAAAGTTGCCCTGTGTTTGAACCCGTAGGCCAGAGCGTGTATTCGGGAGCCACCGCGAGCTCTCAGCTTGTGCTTTTGGAACTGAAGTTTTGGGCTTCCCTGAGATATTTTCATTTCCGTCACACAGCAGATGGGCAATTGATAAACCCCGAAAGAGACAAAGCTTGTGGCATCTGCTGCCTCTTGATAGTTTTGTAAAGGAGGCGGGGGTGGGGCTGGTTGTGGTCCTTAGGACAGCTCCAAACAAATGAAATGTAAGCTTAAACTTTCAATCTGAAATACAAGTCATGGTTTGTCCAGGGTGTGTGTGCGTGCTTGTTTTTAAAATATCGAAGACCGGAGGGGCAGGTATATAAAACCAGAGGTTGTGACTTCCTCTATTTTGCACTAGAGGCTATGCTTCACTCTCATAGCCCCATGTAGACTACGTGAGCAGATAACTGGGAAGCCGGGCGGCTCTGATGAAACCTCTAGGAATCCGAGGCTCATGCCTGTTGCCTTGGCTGCTGCTGAGTCTTCGGATCCATTTGTGGGCACAGAGACTCCAGAGTAGCGACGCACTGGGAGGACCGAATGCCTTTCTGCTGAGCTACAAATGACATCGGCAGTGGCAGGCGTAGCAGGCCTGGTGAACATCTGGGCCACTTCTTTGCTGTGTCGTTGGAGGATGGGGTGAAATGCTTAAATGGAAAGGAAGGTCCAGGGATACCCATGTTGGGGACCAGAAATTTCTTCCTACTTTGACATCAGGGCTTGGCTCCTATCTTGCTGAGAAACCCTTGGTAATTTTAAGAGAACTTGGATGATGGATGGGAGTGTGTTTTTCACATGCGCCACTTGGAGCACTTTCTGACTTCTCCAGCCGTGGGTCTGTGCGGTATTCTGGCGTGTGACAAATGTGGTTGCGCCAGGTTCTCGAACTGATGGTTGACCGCACAGGAAGGATGATTTTGCAACTGCATTTCAGCCTTCCGGGTTTTGGTCTCAGGCGGGGCTTGATTTGTGATTGGGATCAGCAACTGACCCTTAGTTTTCAGCACCAGAACTCCAATAACTGGAATAGTAGTAATGAAAAGCACTTCTGAACACCCATGCCTCCGCTTCACAGCTGAGCAACCACAGCTCGTGCTTCACACACTCAAGAGTTAAGTATAGGCACTTCCAAAAGCAGACAGCACGGCTGCCCAGCAGACTGGGGGCGCAACAGCTGTCTCTATAGAAACTGAGTGCTGTGCTTGCTCCTTTTCAGTGCTGGACTAGGTTTGATCTCACTGAGCACTAACAGTGTACTTACCTCTTATTTTGTGCGTCTGAGCTCCTTTCAGAACTAATCTCGATTCTTTCCTCATCATTTAAGTATGTCAAACTCTGAGAAATCAACCCAGGCGTTCTTGGGGAGTGGGTGGGCAGGAAGTCCTTCTTCACCCAAAGAGTGATTAACACATGGAATTCACTGCCACAGGAGGTGGTGGCGGCTACAAGCATGGACGGCTTCAAGAGGGAATTAGATAAACATATGGAGCAGAGGTCCATCAGTGGCTATTAGCCACAAGGTATAGATAGGAACTCTGGGGCAAGTGATGCTCTGTCTTCTTGGTGCTTGGGGGGGGGGGTCAACAGTGGGAGGGCTTCTAGTGTCCTGGCCCCACTGCGGGACCTCCTGATGGCACCTGGCATTTTTGGCCACTGTGTGACAGAGTGTTGGACTGGATGGGCCAGTGGCCTGATCCAGCTTTGGCTTCTCTTATGCTCTTAAGTGCAAGAGACTATCTTCTTTGTCACCCCTGTGTTGTCAAATTGATGGAAATGGCAAAAAAACCCCACAAACCTGGTTTGCTGGTCCCTCTCTCCAGCAACCCCTGGGGTCTGTAGTCTTGTGAGTGGGGCTACAGAGCAACCTCACCAAACTACACTTCCCATGACTCCTTGTGGGAACTCATTGCCATTGTAACAATGCAGCGGTTTTCCTCTTGCTCACTGCGCGCTCCAAGACTGTTTTCAGAAATTATTTTAGGACTGAAGCATGTGCAACCTTATAGCGTTGCAGAAGATGCCGCTGCTCCCTTCCCAAACCCTTGTTCCACCAGTGAAATGATCCACCTTCACCATAATAAGGAGTACTCTGGATTCAGCCTGAGAGAGTAGCCCCGGGAGGACTGACAGCTTCAGCCTAAATATGCCGCGAACGCAACATTGCAACCTGGCATATCTGTACTTTTCAGAAGGATAATAAGAATAATAATTCTTCTGCCTGCATTCTGCTGTTTTTTTAAAATCTTCCCTTACTAGCTTGTCTTGGAGTAAAAAAAAAGACATTGAATGCGCAGGCAAGCATTTCATGATAGCACGAACTGCGGAGATAATGTTCTAAATCCAGTGAAAGGAAACGACTGTGATTGCTGTTCCCACAAGATATAAGTGCAGTGGAGTTAAAAATTAAAAGTGCCAGGGTCCTCCTCCACCCACTCTTGGAAGCATGACCCTGGTGGGCCAATTTTAATCATTTGCACAAGCTATGCATACGTTTTGTTTTACATTTCTCATAAAGAATTCAAACGGCAAGAAGCTTGCATTGCCTGAATGCTTATTCTGTGTTGCAGGTAGCTCTCTCCAGCTTTCTGTGCTCCATTTATTTAAGACCAAAAGGTATTCCAATCTTTGCTACTTTTCATATTAATTTATAATTTGAATTATTTCATTTTTAATTTTTTTAAAAAAGCTTACTTCTGGTTCCATGTTCAAGTGTCTAAGTGAACCAGAAGTGAGTTTTAAAAAAATTAAAAACTAAAAAATTCAAATTATAAATTAATATGAAAAGCCTGTATAATATTCCATTCAGCTTCATGTTGCTTATTTAAAATACCATGGGTTATTTTTCAGGATTATTTGAAAAATATAAAGAAGAAATTAAACATGGGGTTGCTCTTAAACAGAACATTGAACTGTAGCAAGAGGCTGACAACCTTCATTACCATAGGATTCTTCCTGAGGAAGATTGGGACGAAATGAGTCTATATCCGGATGCTCATTGAGAATGATGGACCTGTAATATTGCCAAGTTTTACAATATAGTATGACTAGAAATAAGGCCCGTTGTGGAAATAAATACAACGGGATCTAGAAAGAGGCTCTGGGAGAGTGCTCTGGCTCTGGGCAAACAGTGGGGGGGGTTTGAGGTGTGGAATGGAGTGAAGTCCAATCAGCTTCCATATGCAAAAGACCAGGTTGTCGCAGCAGTTGTGGTGTGGGCGGGACCCGGGCTTTGCCTTCTGATTGGTGGCGATATATGCTGAGGAGCAGTGCCATCAGCCATACACTAAGGGAGTGCATTTTAGAATTAGAACTTTGGCACCCACTATTCAATTATATATAAGGAGAGATTCTTACTTAACATGTGTTGTCATCTATATCACAGTGTTTGTTTGTTTGCTGCATTTCCTATACCTGTGATCCCTTCTTGGTTTTTTGTAATCTCCTAGTGGTGGCTCGAGATCTCTTGGGATTACATCTGATCTCCAGGTAACTGAGATCAGTTCCCCTGGAGAAAATGGCTACTTTGGAAAATGGACTCCATGGCATTATACACTGCCTAAGTCTCTCTCCAGACTTCACCCCCCAAAATCTCCAGAGATTTCCCAACCTGGAGCTGGCAACCCTACAGCCACAGCACCCTTAACTGTTTGGCAGGGATGTGCCAGGAGGTGCACTGGGTTCCAGCTCTTGACTTCAGGCCAGATTTTTGTATTCACAGTCACAAGTGAGTCAAGGGAATGTTGATGAGGCACAGGAAGGCCCGTCCAGAGTCTGGTCCCTAGCAATTGTTTCTGAACTGTCTAGGAGTCTCCTTTCCCATGTACTTCTAAAATTGAAAGGCAGGACTCAGGCCTGTGGCTGCCTGGAAGCTCATCTCAATCCCAAAAGCGTAGGCGTTGATTGCAGTTACTCATTGGTGAATCAGATTGCTCACTCATTCACAAAGTTCTTGTGGATTGCTTGTACTTTGGGAATTTGGTTCAATCAAAGGGGGGGAGGGAAAGATGGGAGAAAGTGAGCACTCACTGAAGAAGACCCTGATGCTGGGACAGAGTGAAGGTCAAAGAAGAAGGGGACGGCAAAGGATGAGATGGTTAGACAGTGTTACCGATGCAACGAACATGAAATTAAACTCCGGAGCATGAGAGAAGACAGGAGGGCCTGGCGTGGTCTGGTCCATGGGGTCGCAAAGAGTTGGACTCGACTGTGCGGCTGAACAACAAAACAAAAAGGGAGAGATGTGTCATGAACCCAGTCTTCTTGTAAGCTATTAATAAGAAGAAGCTAAACAGGACGAGGGAGCTGCGCGTTGGCAGAATTATGCATTGTCATCGTGCTTTGAATGGAAAGAATGTAGGATGGGATGGGAAAAGATTCCCGGAGGCCGCAGAACAAACGTTTAGGAGGGAGATGTCTTTGTATTATTTATTTATTCATTCATTCAGTTTATGGATCGCCCCATCCTTGTAAAGCCAAGGCTCTGGGCGATATACATCAATGATAAAACAATAGCTTAAAAACATACAACAAATCAGATAAAAGTAATGGATGGTGATGTTCTGTTTCATTCTGCAAACTGAAGTGGCTGTGTAGGCTAAATAAGGGCCCATGAAGACACTAGGGGCTTGTCTGCTGGGCTGCTCCCACACGGAGATGATTCTCTGTGGGGTCTTGCTGCGGCATTCACAGTGGCATCACAGCACCCGCATGGAACTTTCCCTTGCACTTTCCCCCTCACTTTCCTTGTAGCCATCACCCTCTGCCAGTGGAGGGCTTTTTTAGGTTTTAAAAAAATTGTTATAATGTTATAACACTGTATAAAAATTACCAATCTATTCCAACCATGGTCTAATCCCAGACTTAATTTTTCTAAACAAAGAAAGACTCTAGCCCTTTTAGTTGTGGAGTTATAAGGGTAAATGTGCAGCCAGTATCTTTCCTCTTCTAACACCACAACCAAAAGGGCTAGACTGACTTGTCAAAAAATAGTGAAAGCTGTGAATTAGTACATTGTTGGGATAGATCGTTACAATGTTATAATGTTATAGCGATATAGCTATTACTGCCTTAAGACAATATAGAAAGCCATACAGGAGAGGAAGGAAACGGCTGCTGCAGGAATTGAGGTGAGAAAAATGGCAAGACCTGCTTACCTTTCCATCTACACCAGGGTTCTCCAACCTTTTGGAGCTGCTCGGCACCTTTGGAATACAAATGTACTGTGGTGGGCACAGCCACAAAATGGCTACCATAGCTCTTACCTTCAATCACACCGTGAAGATCTTTGTGATGTGGTGGTAGCCACTGCCAAAGCAACATTTCAAAAAATCTACACAGCCAATCAAATCTCCAGTGGCCTATCAGAAGCCTTGCTGGGCAAAGTTTCACCTGACCCCACCCACTTTCTAAAAGCACTCAGTGGGCACCTTTGCCATGGTGCCCATGGGCAGCCAGTTGAGGACCCCTGGTCTACACAATGTCCAAAAGCCAAAAAGATTGTCTCAAACCAGGTTTGGGGAAAGATCGCAGCAAAGCAGAGGGGAACAGAGGAGTGAGACAAGGAGAGGACAACAGCCGGTGCATGTTCCTCAAAACAGAACTGCTGTAAGGAAGGACAAAACCTTTGTGTGTAAACAGCTGGTATGCCTTTAATTATTTGAAAAGATGCAGCTACACATCAGCCAGTTATATTCTATATAATTCCAATAAGCCACTGTATCTCCCATCTAGTTCTACCAATGAAGTGAATGCTAGATAATCTGTACCAGTTAAAAGGCTACTTCCTACTGGAGTAAGAGAGCCTCTGTGTGTGTGTGTGTTCAGAGGTACTCTTATGTGGCAGGGTTAAACATTGACACTAAGGGCTTTTCTGCATTCTCATTTTCCTCACTTGTGTGTTCTTGTTGCTTCAGATTTCCCCCTGTTCTGCACTTTTTTTGCTCCCTCTAGTGGTCGATCAGATATTATATGACTTTATGTCTAGCATAAAAACCTGCGGTTTATTTATTTATATATGAATTATTAATAGCCCAATCCTTGCTATTGCAGGGCTCTGGGCGATGTACAGTATCCATACAACAAACACTGTGGGGGTTTAGTTTGGGCCCATTTCAGTGATGTCACGGGTCCAGGAAGCACCACCAGTCACTAATGGTTAGGTCCCAGCTGAGATCCATCCTTGCTGGAAGAGCTCTGTTTCTTCTTTGGAAACTGCAGAGGCTCCTGTGTGGGTGTGTGCAAAACAACAACAACAACAATTAGGCCGATTCGGATTCTGCCGAATGGGGCAGAATCAATTTCGGTGGTCATAAAGACTCCTGCATGTCAATTTCGGCAGTACCAGCGATTCAGGAGTCTTTAGGCCAGCCGAATGTCAGTTTCAGCCCCATTATATCCTATGGGCCATTGAAGTCAATGGCGAAAACATAGGGTATATTCTGGGAGGTGGAGGGGAAGGGCTTTGAGGGAGAGGCTCCAAACATGCAGGGTAGCTGCTGGAGCCTCTCCCTAAGATACCAACCAAGTTTGAAGAACATTGGACCAGGGGGTCCAATTCTACCGGCCCCCAAACAGGTTGCCCCCATCCCCTCCATTGTTCTCTATGATGGGGGAAAAGTTACTTTTTCCCCACCATAGAGAACAATGGAGGGGATAGGGGCAACCTGTTTGGAGGCCCATAGAATTGGACCCCCTGGTCCAATGTTCCTGAAATCTGGTTGGTATCTTGGGGAGAGGCTCCAGCAGCTACCCTGTGAGTTTGGAGCCTCTCCCTCAAACTGCCTCCCCTCCAGCCCCCAGAATATACCCTATGCTTTCGCCATTGACTTCAATGGCCCATAGGATATAATGGGGCCGCGGCAGCAATTCGTGGCAAGCCGATTCAGATCAGAGAATCTGAATCGGCCTGCAGCAGCCTGAAAGGGGTCCGAATGGGCCATTTTTGGGAGTGCATTGGGTTCAGACGAACCGAATGCACATCCCTACTCCTGTGTTTTGTCCGTGCATCCCTTACTTTTTTGCATCTCTCTTCGTGCAGTATGACCGAAAAAGAGATCCTTGAGCCACCTGCATCACCCATGTCTGAAGGCGGGAAAGGGGTAAGTGCTGTTGGGGCTGCTCTGGGCGGTAGGATATTGACCCCCTCTGTGCCCTGATTCTCGTACTGCCAGCCATGGGGAAATAGTGTCCCTTGGAATACTGAAAGATGCCGATTCCTTCTGATTGGTTGCGGCCATGGGAGCCACAACTGGACGTGCAAACGGCCCAAGCTCAACCCATCCCAATACCCAACTCTTGGTCACCATCACCACCGACTTGCCTAGATCCCTGAAGCATCAGGCTTTTGCAGTCTGCCTCTCGTGCTGTCTTACTTCGTGGGCGCAGCGTGGCCCGTGCTTTCTACTGTGGCTTGGGATGCTATTTAGCTGGCTTGCTCAGCCTTAGTCGTAAGCCGAGCTCTCTCTTACGGCTGGGATCCAAAGTGCATCGCTTCCAGCACACCCAAGGGGACTTTAAATGTGTTTTTCTTTTCACCACAAGCAGAAGACTGTCATACCATATCACAAGGGTTGCCAATTGCCCCGTTGGGAGGGCAAACTGGCTAAGTGTGCATGAGTCTTTTTTTTTTAAAAAAAGACAAGGCTGCCTGGTTAAAAGAACAAGGAGGAAGAAAGGTGGCTGCAAAGGAATTTGACCACAAGGCAGCCACAAAGACTATTCTCACCTTCTCTTCTTGTGTGTGGCTCCTTCATGCTCTCCTTGCATGGTAGCTCGGGTTCAGCCCACCGTGTCTGCCGGCACCCTCCGTGGTGGTGAACAAAAAGCTTTAACCTGAACCCTCCTTGGTTCTCGAAATCTGCTGAGCACCACCTAAGGCCTGACTCCCCCTACCCAGAATTCTGGACCTCAAAAGTTGGCCACCCTAATGATATCAAACGGCTTTTGAAACTCCCTTCTGTTTCTAAAATGATCTGTCGCGATGGGCTGTTCTTCAAGAAACGCCGTCTCAAAGGGAGTTTCAGGTGGGTAAGCTGTTTCAGTGTAGCAGAAGAGCAAGTTTCAAGTCTGGTAGCACCTTAAAAGACCAACAGGATTTCCAGGGTGAGAGATTCAAGGTGGGGTAGAACAAAGTTTGGGTCCGGGGCACCTTTAAGACCAACAGAATCGTATTCTAACACTATATGACCAACCTACAGGGCTATTTTTGGGCAGGAACGCACAGGAACAGAGTTCCGGCTGGCTCCTGAGTTGGCCACACCCAGCAGAAACTCATTAGCATAATAGGCCACACCCAACAGCAGAAACTCATTAGGATGTAGAGTCCCTGCTACAAAAAAAGGCCCTGGGTGTTGACAACAAACAAGGTAAACAGAATAAGAAGCAAAAGGTGGGTGTGGCTGGATGACCACACTTCTGGCAACAGGGGGCTGCGACCTAATATGCTAATGAGCTGTGGTGTCAGGGTGTGGCCTATTATGCTAATGAGTTCCTGCTGGGCTTTTTCTACAAAAAAAGCCCTGCCAACCTATATTGTCGTTCTTTCATCCTAATCCTGGGTTTTAAAATTAAGGGGGAAAGCTCTGAATGAGAGAAAGCCCAAGACAAAATATCCCAATAAATAGGGTTGCCAACCTCCAGGTGCTCAGTTATACTACTTAATACTGAGATTTGATTATCCTACTTACTATTGAGAGTTTGGTTATCCTACTTATCCAGCATCCAGGTGTTGGCCGGAAATCTGGGATTCTAACGGATCTCCACGCCAAAGTAAAATGGACCCATTAGCACGCTTGGAAGTAAGGAAGGAGACCTTGCCCAAGTAGATCAATGAAAGTGCCAACTTGAATGTAAGACTGAATGTGAGAGTCCTATATAGGATCCGTTCCTGAGGAAAGACCCGAGGTCTGAAACATTTAAATATCTGGAAAAAGTGTTGACTGAAAGAGAGACACAGATTGATTGAGTCTGGAGCAAACTGCTTTTGTAAATTTGGTTAAGGATACAAGACTGTTAGAGGGACATAGACTGGGAGACGGGAGCAGACTGCTGCGTGAACCTTTATCGACCTTTGTATTTTTTCTATGAAGGAATATGTCGTTGTTCTTTATTATGAGAGCCAGTTTGGTGTAGTGGTTAAGTGTGCGGACTCTAATCTGGGAGAACCGGGTTTGATTCCCCACTCCTCCACTTGCACCTGCTGATGTGACCTTGGGTCAATCACAAGCTCTGGCACAGCTGTCCTTGAAAAGAGCAGTTTGTGTCAGAGCTCTCTCAGCCCCACCCACCTCACAGGGTGCCTGTTGTGGGGAGGGGAAGGGAAAGGAGTTTGTAAGCCGCTTTGAGACTCCAAGTGAAGGGCGGGGTATAAATCCAATCTCCTCCTCCTCCTCCTCATCAGACACTACATGATGTTATGGCTTTCATCTAGTCTCATTCGTTGTTGTATTGCTTTGTGGGCATCTAGCACATGTCTGTATATATATATTTTTCATACCAGACCATCACATGTAAAGGGACTGCATTCCTTTTAAATGCTTTCCCTCCATTGGAGCTCATAGAATTGGACCCCCTGGTCCAATATTTTTGAAACTTGGGGGGGGGGTTCAGGAGAGGTACCACCAGCTATGCTGAAAATGTGGTGCCTCTACCTCCTAAATAAAGTTAAAGCACTGCCCACCTTCTTTCCAAAGCAGTAAGAAGTTTATTTATTTACATTATTTATAGTTTGCCTTTCTCAGGGGACTCAAGGTGGATTATGCAGAATGAGTCAGGAAAGAGTTAAGTGCTCTTCTCTTGCCCCAAACATATCCAATGCAAACTGCACCCTTCCAAGAGCCATTTTCTTAGGAGGAGCAGCGGGTTGAGCTGGGGAGACATGCGGTTAAGATGGCGTTCTTCTCTTAGTATAATGGCTAGTCGGGCACGGGCCTCGCTTTGGAGCCAGGGGGGGAGAGACGCAAGGGGGGGAGATCGCCTCATAAGTGTGGAGGTCCCCCCCCCCGCGAGTATCGCGGGTCCCGCCCCTTGTGTCTTTATAATAGCGGCATAGTTAGAGCACTGGAGGAGTAAAGGGCAACTGAAGTGGAACTGGGGGGGGGGGGTGCAGACACCAGTTGTGCTGGTGTCTGTAAGGAGCTACAGGGAAGGCTTCTTGTAAAATGCCAAGCGGCACATAGACTCTTGATTGTGAGAGCCAGCATAGCATAGTTGTTAAGAGTGTTGCAGTCGTATCTGAAAGACCTGGGTTCAAATCCTCCCTTGTGCCACAGGAGCTTGGTAGGTCACCTTGGGCCAGTCATGCACTCTTAGCCTTACCTACCTCACAGGGTTGTTGTGAGGATAAAATGGAGGAGAGGAGACTGGTGCGAGCCAATGTGCTTCCCCACTGGGGAGAACTGCAGGGTACAAATGAAGTAAATAGAAAAATAAAATAAATAAGGCCAGCGTGAAGCTGCTCTTCCTCCATCGAGGAGCAGCCACAGAGCAATGTACATAAAGATGTTAGTCAAAGTCTTCATAGTTTTCACATGGTATGTAGGCAAGACAGAACCGAGTCTCTTGATGCAGCATTTGCATACTAGCACACCGGTTTTTCGATGTTGGGCTCAGCCCAGAGTTGTGCCCATTGGTAGACTTGCAGCTGCCAACTCCTGCTGCAATCCACTAAATACTGCAACAATTTCCACATGTCATTAAACTGCTGGATTTCAGAGTCCCAGGAGGCCCTGTCCATGTGCAAGGAAACATCCGTGAACAAATGCCCAAGGATTATTAGCTGATTCTCTCCCCTGAGACATGTGTTAGCAACTTCAGCCTCAGGAGAGGGGTTGCATTTCAGCTGTCTCAGGCTGACTGCAGGTTTTCCCAAGGCTTCTCAGTGTTCTGCTTCGTCTCCCTACCCTGGCAGCGAAAAAAGGAACATCTGGGTCAGTGAAGAATAATGTCTCCCCCTTGGCAGGCCACATGGCTTGGGGTCAAGATGAACACCATCAGGCTGAAGTGATGAAGCTAACAGTGCCTTAAGGGGCTGAAATTTAGAGATTACAAAGTAGGGTGTCTGTGAGATGGGGGGAGGGGGAAAATCCCATCTCCCCCTTGCCAAGCCTGGCATAGCTTCAGGTCCCACCACCCACCTCTGAACCTGGCTGCAGTGGGGGGCAGGATCTGAGAGCTACTCTGGGCTGGAGCAGCTCCCAGCAGCCACTGCTGCTAAATCTAGACTCTGCCACCTCTGGCTTTGAAGAAGAAAGAAGAATTTAACACACACACACACACACACACAACCCAATGTATTTTTTTTAAAAAAGGTTTCAGATTTTTCTGCAAATCTGGGGGGTTCCCCCAAGTTTGCAGGAAAATCTGTTTAGTAGCCTCAATCTGTGGATTTAGATATCCACAGATGGGCACCATATGTCACTATTAGATGTATGGATAACAAACCTTGGATGCGAAGAGGTCTTTAGCGCTCCAGGGTCTCTCTATGGCATATCAAGCCCCCCCCCCCAACACACCAGCTTTTTCAATATAATTTAGGCAAACTAGCCAGAACATCAAATGCTGATTCAGTAGGGAGTTTGTTGCTCTCCTGACCCCATGCTTCAAAGCCGCCTTTTTCCTAATTTTTAAAGCTGCACACAGACACTTAATTGAGTAAGTATACATCCGTTTCCATTCCTTAAAGCCATGTAGAAAAGCCTCTCTGATAGGAAGGGAGTTACTGACATCACAGTTGTTTCAGCCAATCCATGCCAGGCACAGCCAACGTCTGCTGCAAATACAGAACCTGTTTCCTCTGAGTTCACTTCTTCAAAGGTCTGTGCATTTCCACAGCTGCTCACCTGGTAAAATAACGGAGTTCTGGAGACAAGCATAGGCCTCCGCTACACAAAGGATTGGTAATGTGACAGATGTTTAAAGTTAAGGCTGCAAGCTTTGACCAGTGGACTCACCAGTTAGACGATTGATTGCTGTGGGGCAGTTTTAATTGGTGGGGCTTTGAAAAGAGGGTATATTTGGAGTTTTTAAAACAAGCTATCTTGTGTCAGAACCCACAGCCAACAACGAAGTACACGCATTCGAGAACGGTAATACTTTTATTGCAGAGCTACAGATGCAGTAACATAAGCACTGTTAAGAATGGTGGCGGCCCCATGGCCGTAATAGGATATAGGGTGTTTGTATGCACCCCCCCCCCACAGCACTGGCTAATTAGGCACCCTCCCATGCGCGGGATAAAGCTTGGAGACCGTTAGGTAGCTAAAGCTGAGAACCAACACTCTCCCACGGCACCTAGGAAAAACCCAGACAATACAACTCCCTCCTGCACATCTGTATAGATAAGCATTTCGGCGCAAAGCAGAAAAAGCACAGAAAGGAATGCAGTAGCAATTAACCAGACACAGACCGAGCTCCCCAACCCCCATGGCAGCGTAGCTGACATCTTGGTTCTCAAATAGGGCCACCAACTCCAGCTTGGGAGATTCTTGGGAAACTTGTGGATGGTGCCTGTGGAGGGCAGAATTTGAGGGGGGGGGTTTTCAGTGGGAATTGAGAGTCCGCTCTCTGGTGCTGCTCTTTCCAGTAGCGGAACTAATCTTTAGTCTGGAGATCAGGCGCAATTGCAGGAGAACTCCAAGCCACACCTGTAGGTTGGTCATCCCATGCTCAAACTCATCTTTTAGTAGGAGACGACATGGAAATACTAATTGAGACTCACGGCTTCAAGTCCAAAAGGGTGTTCCCAAGGCTCTGGTGACGGAGGGGGTGAATTGGCTGGCACCTGGCTCTCCACTGCCAGCCCAGGGCTGGGAAGCTGAGGGGCCCAGTGTGCCGGCTCCTGGCCGAAGATCTATGTCAGGCCCTTCAGGGACTGCCTCCTCCTGCAGTACCTCTGCCACAGGCTGTGGGTTTGGGTCAGGTCTGCTGACTCCCTCCTCCTCCTTAGAGGAGTCCTCTTCATCTCATTGCTCTGCTGGACTTGGTGGGTCCACGACACCTCCTCTGCTTCTCACCAAGGCTCCCTCTAAGCTGTGGAGTCTTGTGAGCAAAAATCCTACTTTGTGAGCTACTGGCATTAAAGTTGTGAGCGAGCGATTCGGCTACTGCATAAATTAGTTTGCCTTGGAGCCATCCTTCCTGAGCTAAGACAAAGATGTGTGAGCTGGAGGCTAAAAAAACTGTGAGCTAGCTCACAGTAACTCAACCTAGCGGGAACCCTGGAGGCCTCTTCTCCGAATAAGAAGGGGTAGCTTTTGCTGAATTGGAAATTAATATTTCCTTCAGTGTTTCCCCAAAAGCACCTGTGCAGAAGTTTTGCTAATATGCATATTTAGTTAAACGTAACCAGTTAAAGACGGTGTACTAGGTAACAGGTTGATCTGTAATCTCACCTCTGCCATGAAACAGCATCTTGTCTAAGTCTAATAAAAATGTTTTTAAATAAATAAAATAACTAAGTCACCTCTGGCAAGCTGCTATGTGTCCGATTCACCCACTGCCCCAAATTTAGAGTACTGGAATAACAATATTAACTTACCTTACAGGGTTCTTGAGGTTATAAACGTGAAACCTTTCTAAGGTCCTTTGCGGAATTGTGAGGAAGTCAATGACTGGCCAGAAAGCTAACCGACATCATCAACAGCAACCAATTTGATTGGTTGCTAGCCCTGCTTAAAATGAATTTCAGTGGAGATTGGTCCCCCAGCCCAGCTTTCCTTATGCTGCTGCTCTTCCTGTCAGTCTGGCGATTTGTCTTCTCACCTCAGTAGGCCATTATTGCTTCCTGGTGGTGTGAAGTCACTGCATGTGAAAGAGTTTGTTATGTGTTGTTATCTCCACACAGTGGCACAGAGGCCACTAGGACTGTATGTGCGCTCTGGGCAGTTGTTTGCATCATTGTGGGAACACAGAAACCAAACCATGGCTGCGGTCACACACAAAATAATCCACTTTCAATCCACTTTCCAACTGGATTTGACTGTGTGAACTGGCAAAATCCAATTGGAAAGTGGATTGAAAGTGGGTTATTTAGTGTGTGTGACCACAGCCACCTGGTTCTTTCTCCAGTTTTTTTTTTTTTTTTTTGGCCACAGGCGCTAAGCAATGCTCCCTCTAAGCTGTGGAGTCTTGTGAGCAAAAACTCTACTTTGTGAGCTACTGGCATTAAAGTTGTGAGCCAGCAATCTGGCTACAGCATCAATTAGTTTGCTCTGGAGGCCATCCCTTCCTGAGCTAAGACAAAAATGTGTGAGCTGGAGGCTAAAAACCTGTGAGCTAGCTCACACTAGCTCAGCTTAGAGGGAACGCTGGCGCTAAGAGTCTTCTGGGTGTTCCTTCCATTTTACTTTTTGCCACTTGTGTATCTGAACTGCTTGTGAATGTGTCAAAGACGTGCGTGCTAATGGCGCTGGTTGCCAGGGATCCTGG